TGGTCTAGACTTCTAGGCCTGCTTTGGGTCAGAAATAAATCGAAAAAAATGTAAAGTTGATAGAAAGGGGGGCTGTGATTGATGGATGGCGAATGGAGGAAGAGGTGACATTGGAGACCGCCGGATATTGTCGTTTTCCGGCGGTTCATGGCCGTTTCTTTGGCAGCGGACGATGGGCAATTGACGAGAGAGGACGAAGGGGCATGGGGAAGGTGAGGACGTCTGGGGAAGAGGAAGGAACAGTGCCCCTTTTCCCTGGAAAAAGAAGAAGACGTTGGGGAAGGAAGAAACGTGATTTCCTGGGAAAAGAAGAAGCTTGAGGCGATGGGGGGGGGGGGGGGGGTTGTACGATTTTGGGAAAAGATGAAAAGGTCTTACTTAATTTGGGTCGTCCGATCGTTTGATCGGACGGTTAAGATAAATCAAGGATTAAAAGGAATATATATATATAAATAATGGAAAAAGCTTAATTAACTAGGACCGTTAGATTTAATCGTAAGGTCAAGATTTAAGCTAAAGAAGCACAATCCATGTGCTCACCTACATGGCACACACAGATTGGCCGGTTTAAGGGTACTTGGATTGTCAAAAATTGTTCAAATTAAATTCATTTAAATTATAACCTCTTCCTTTATTAAATAGCCATAGGAGATAATTATTTTGCAAGATTAGCTTATTTGATAAAATTAGTCACTCTTAAAATTAAATTAATATAAATTAATAAATCATCAATTAACTAAGCTTTCTAATTTTAATAAATGTACGAAAAATATCTATTGCGACAAAAGGAATTATATTTGAATCAAAATAGATTCAATTCTTAAGAAGAACAACATTTATTTAAAAAAATGAGAAAGTAAGTAGTAATATAATATATTTAATTTTTATAAGAAGTAAATTTATCAAGTCAAATAAGTAATTAACATTTTTGTATTTCTATGAAAAATATCATAACATATGTATTTTGTTATTATTATTATAATTATAACTATAGTTAAATGTGGAGAGCCAAAATTGGGTGTCAACACCTACCTCGAATCCAAGTTTGAATCCCTTAAGGCACTTGAATCTTCCCTTTCCGAATTCTTTCCCCTTGTTCTAGGTCTACAAACAATTAATATACGCAAGGATCAACAATCAAATGTCTAATTATCCAGATTATAACAAACCCATTAACCCAAGACCAAACCCATAATCCCAATATCCCAATTAGGACTTTTTCCACCATAATTCCCATATCAAAACCTTCTCCCAACAATAATTACCCAAGTAACTACGTTTTACGGGTCAAAATACGGATTAGGGGAGTAAAAACCTTACCTTTAGCACCAAAAGTTGTGGAAAACTGTCAAGAAATCACCTGGGGTCGCCTCCTAGCTCTCAAGAACGAAACTTGCAGAAAATAACGTTTTTGGAGTTTATTTCCGACTTAAGTCGCGACTGTCCCACTACAGCGGGATCTATCCAGCTATAGCGGCCCCGCTCTGGCGGCTTGCGCGGAGACAGAAAGTTGAAATTAGAGTTCCAAGCTCCCATTTCACAATACACTTTCAAATCATGACGTTCTAAAATTACCCTTTCACGCTAAGATCATTTTCGGGAGTTCTACTCGCCCGAATTTGATTCCGTAAACTCCTACGGGTTCCTTAACGTCTTAGATATCTACTCATGTAATCAAAACCATTACCAGATTTTCCTAGACTCACTTGACTCCGATTTCGTCCAAATCTTGACTAGGCTAGGAAATTTCAAGTTACTACCAAAAAGTTTTCTGGCCCAAATTCTTTCCCCATTAGCCTTTACATAACGACGGAATCAAGTTGTTACAATCATCAAACATATATTATGATAAATTATGTAAAAGATAAAAATGATTAGATATGAAGATATTTTTAATCATTCATTATATATTTACAATTCTTGAGAAATGTGATTATGTCAAATCATCTAATTTCTGTTGAAATATTCTCAAAACCTACTAAAATTTACTTCTTTTTTTCTTATAGCAGTTGATTATTAGAAATATTGTTCAAAAGCTTAGAAAGATTATGCGGGTAAATTACCTAGTATATATATAAAAGAGAACCCTAAACCCGCATACGTGGTGCCACCACAAATCAGGATTCCCTTTTAATTTATTTAATTCCAAAATTAGCCTTCCATTTCATGAAAAGTTGTGAATTTATGAAAAAGTTGCGACTTTTACAAAGAGTTGATGACTTTTATTAAGAGTTGTGACTTTTATGAAGAGTTGTGACTTTTATAAAAAGTTGCGACTTTTGTGAAAAGTTGTGACTTTTATGAAAGATTGTGACTTTTCCAACGAGTTGTGACATTCCCGATAAGGCACAATAAGCATTTATTCACACTACCCTTTGTTGTCTATAAATAGAGGGATTTCCTCTCATTTTAAAACAACAAAAATTCTGAACTTCTTCTTCTTCTTCTTCTTCTTCTTCTTCTTCTGCACAATTAAATATTCGTGTACTTTGTTCCTGTTGAGTCGCTCACTGACACCATTATTTTTGTATCAATGCACCGGTGAATAAAATCATTCTATCATGAGAGGATCTATTCATTTAAACTTCGGGTACTAGAGGGGAATAATTTCCTTACGGGGACAAATGTGCATTTAGTGAGCTTGATTTTTTTTCTTTATATTTCATTCTGTAACCCTGATTTGTTTTTTACAGTCATTAATTTATGCTTATGTTATTAATTGTTATTTTTGAGTACATGTTTTAAACTTTGTTGTTTATGTTTATGCTTTTGATCATAATGTTGAAGTAAAGATATGTTAATCAAGAGTTTGATGTAATCATTAGACTATTGGTGTCATGTAGATTAAAATTCTTAAACTTGTAAAATAAATGACTTTGATCTTTATAGAGCTTTCAATGACTAAAAGATCCATGTGATGTTCAAGAACGGACTTTTGAGTGTTTAGAAGTTATGGTGGTTCCACACTACCTTGGAGTTTTAGTTATTCAACTTTCTATATTATCGAGACATTCAATCAATTAGTGACATCCAAAAAATAAAGGAATGTAGTGGGATGGTAAGTGTTGTACTCAACCTTAATCAAAAGTTTGGGGTTCAAATGTTGGATTGGAGTCAATGAATTACCCCTCAAAGTAGGACGAATCCATATTAATCAAATATTAAAGAAATAATTATCTCTTTATAAACATTAGATTAAAAGTCGCAAAAATATATATAAAGTTTTAACCATATTGATCGAAACATAAACAACAAAATATGCCTTTTGGCTATCAAAGTTGTGTCATCGATTGCGAATGATTTTGAATAAGGGACTTGCCAAGACATCATTTAATCCAAATTATTTGAGAGACATACGTTATTCCATTGAACTTCAAGAGATGTGTTTTTAAATTTTAATCAACTTATCAAGTATACGACTAATTATATAAGATGTATAATATTTAGATTTTGTATGTAAAGGCCTTGAATAGGAGAAAAACTCTCCCAATTGATGAATAAAATGTTTGTACCACTTTTTGAAAATACAAATATAGACAATGAAACAATTACATATCTTTTCTAAAGACTTTGGTGATGAATAACTACAATGAAGAATTAATTAAAAAAATGCATAAACACTTCGAATCAAATCTTTTTGGTTTTAAGATTAAAAAAATATTTCATTTCATCTCTGGATACAATATTCTTGACAATTTATCGTAGGGTTGTACCCACTCGAAAACACTTATATTATCAAATGTTCAGAAGTAGATTATTAACGTAGTTCACTACCACGCAAAGCACGAACAATTTACCTGGTAATAAAGAGTTTTTGGCTAAAACCATCCCTCAAGTATAACTCAAACTTAGGGTACATCCTTGTGGTATAATTGTGAACAAAAAACATCCTTTTACTATCCCAAAATTTACATAAACATCCTTTCTGTTAACTAACTGTTAAAAACTAACAGAAAGAAAAATATGTGCTAAGCACATGACTTTCCTCCCAAAGTCTCCATATACTGTAAATTGATTGCTTCATCTTTTTATAAACAATAGCTCACGTGCAGACTCTTCTTTCATATGTTTGTACAGAAAAATAATTTGCTCTGTCCCACTTTCAGTTTAACCTTCAGAAAACGCGTTCCTAACTAAGGGTTGAAATTGACTGCTCATATAACTCATACATATCTATTCTCCTATGCGAGCAAAGAGGAAGCGAGACAAGCCTAATGTGCCTAGTTGAGAAATGATAAACAACACTCATAGAAATGCATTGCGTCTGAAAAAGAAGTAAGCTGATAAGAGGAAGGATTGGCCTCACTTTGAAAAGAGAGCAGACGAGAATTTGGAGTTGTAGTAAAAGTAGTCGTTTTATGTTGGATCAGTCTCGCTTTGAGTTTTTCGTATTAAACGTATCTTGTGTGTTTGCCAAGCGCAATGAAAGTACTCTGAGTTGCCTAAAAGCATTTGTTTTTTCTTCTTTTTTCCACTTTGAGCATTTTAACACTTCAAACCAGCAAAAAAGGCTAATATTTCACCTAAAAAATAGGACCAAAACTTGCACAAAAAGCACACTCAAGAATACATCAAGGCAGCTAATTAAAAACAGGGAAAGACGATTATGAAAACTGGTAAATCAGTACAAAAATAGCATAAAAATCAGCAAAACAATACCAAATTAGCCAAACACAACAACACACTAGAAAACAACAAAAAAGTTGATAAACCAGTATATAAACAACAAGAAAATCAGCAAAACAACACCAAACTAGCATAAAACAACAAAAACAAACAGCAATACAACAGAAAAATTGGTAAACCAATAGTAAACAACAAATTGTTTGGCAAAACATAAGAAAAACAACATGAAAAGACCAACAAAACAATAGAAAAACCAATAAAAATAAGTAGAAACATAGTCTAGTACCATTAAATTAACAAAATAAGTAAACGAACAGCAAAAACCAGTAGCATATCATCAGTTTGATACACAAGAACAAAAAAAACTCAATAAATCAAAAAGAAGTAATTTCTTCAATCGTTCCTGCCGTTTTGGGATGTTTGGAAAATGTAACTTTGATGACTGACTTGAGATTTGCCTTTTCTAACCTGAAATAAGAAATGAAAATATTACATATTTGCATTTATATACTATATTAAAAAACTTAAATAATTGAAATTTAGATGAGAATATTTGAACACTCTTACATGTAGCTTTTTCACATTATGATAACTTGATGCTCTCTTGATCATGATGGAGTCCAAACTACAAGGATGGTCCGATGGATGAATTTCAACGCCATTAGATGAAGGAGTGCAAGTTCTACTATTATGGCCAGGCCTACCACATTTCTTACAATGAACTGATTTTTGTTTCCTTTTTAATTTCATCCTGCTATCTCTCGGCTCATCATCTTCTTTCTTTCTTAGTTTTTGTTTCTTCCCTTTCTTTGTCTTCTTCAAGTATAAAGATGGTAATAGTGGAGGATTTTGTGACTTCGGCCATAAATCAGGACCATTCATAGGCAATATCAGAACTTCATAAATTTTTTGATATGTCTCGACCTTGTAACAATCATCGACATAGTTTAAAACGTCATCATTTTTCAACCAAATAGATGATATAGCATGCTTACAAGGGATACCCGAAAGTTCCCATTGCCTACAACTACATGTCCTGTTATATAAATCAACAACCCAAATATCACCTTCAACAGGTCCAATCACTTCATAGTTCCACATATTCAACTTTTTAGGAATATAAGTGGCAGCATCCTCCATAATTTTAGTCAACTTCTTCTTAATAGTAGGACAAATATCACCCAAATTCCACTTTTTAGCTTTCTCCCTATTTGAGTTAATTCTTGTCATGAGCAAATGCCTAATGGTTTCCAAAAGTTTAATAATTGGTTTATCTCTCGCATCAAGAATAACTTATTAAACACCTCACATTGATTGTTCAAAAGAATGTCACACTTCGAAAGCGGAGAGAAATGTGATTTTGACCATTCACTAGGCAATTTCGTAGAAAGCCATGCATAAGCATCTCTATCTAACTCAAACAAATCAGCCATAGAAGCATCAAACCTGTTAATAGTTGTTGCTAAAGCTGCCTTCCAAAGAGCATTTTTTAATGTCATTCCACAAAACCCAGCTTTCTTGAAATTGTTATGCAAGTGTCGCACACAAAATCTATGAGAAACATCAGGCAACACTAATTCAAAAGCTTCAAGAAGTCCCTTTTGCTTATCTGACATAAAAGTCCACAAGTATTGCTCTTCAATTTCAAGGTCGTTAATTAAATATGTTAAAAACCAACGCCATGTTTCCTTATTTTCCTTCTCAACTATTGCATAACCTATTGGAAAGATGTTGTTATTTCCATCCAAAGTAATCGCTGATAATAACTGTGCCCCATACATGGTGGCCTTCAGCCAACACCCATCGACCCCAACAATCTTTCTACAACCAGCCTTGAATCCTACTTTACATGCTGCAAAACAAATATAAAACCTTTGAAATCTCATCAACTTGTTAGGTATCTCATTTGGAGTTACTTTCAGGAAAACGGAAGTCCCAAGATTGGTTCGAACAATTTCATTGCAATAATTCCATAATATACTAAACTGAACATTTATATCTCCATCGATCATTGCAATAGCCTTTTCCTTTACCCTTCTTGCTTGATTCATACTTACGTGTAGCCGTAATTCCCTACTCAATTTGTCTCTAAATTCTGATGTTTTCCAATTCTTTTTTGATCTAACTCTATCAACATACCTCTTTGCAATCCAACTGGAAGTGATATTTTTGTTGTTATAATTCCACCCAAAACAAGTATGCTTGGGGACAAACGTCTTTATTTGAAAAGATGTGTCCCTTTGCATCGATGAGCCCAATATCCTCCAGTTACATCCATTTTTCCTGCATTTAGCCCTTGCTCTTCTTCTGTCATCTTTGATCCACTCAATTGACTTTCCTATTTTGGCTTGATTTACAATCACAGCTTCTTTGAATTCTTTCTTATTACCGAATATCATTCCCAACTCCAATTTGGGATTAATGGCATCCGATTTTGGATTGTGCTTCGGAAAGTTAGAATCTTCATTTTCAGAATTGCAATCACTATTTAAACTCCCTGTATCATCAGAATCTACATAATCCGAATCACCTTCCACATTTTGCATCTTTTCATTTACATAATCTTGATTTTCATCATTTTTCTCATGCCTCTGATTTATATTGATCCCAAAAGATTCAACAGAAGGATCAATATATTTAGAAAATAATATATCATCTTCCTCTAATGAATAATCAAAATCTTCAAAATCATCATCATGAGAATCATCACTATTTGCTTATGTATCACTTATTGGCAAAGAATCCATTCCCGTCTTCTCGCAATGTTGATGATCATCATGATAGAAATTCAAATGTTCAAAATACATCTCAATCACTCTATCCTTTGGAATGCAAGTAGCAAGTTTAGCTACTTCAATATTGCTACCAACTAATCGAACCTTATAAAGGGTTAAACCATACTTGTGCCAGAACACCACAGACTCCTTGTCATAACCACATTGTTCGGCCATATTTTTAAAATCTGATAAGCTTATCATTGTTCTGTTTACATAGTCAAAAATACAACTTTTCCACCTATGTAGCCTCTTGTCGGACCACGCACAAATGATCCGCCATGATGTACTTTAATTGTGAAAAGGGATGCCTCAGAAATAGAATCTACACAAATATAGAACTTGTTCTTATATATAAAAAATATGAAATATATAAAGCCAAGAATGAAGTACAAGTTCAATAAAACTAATATCATAACATGTATAAGTTATTGAAAATTTTTTTATATATGATATTAACAAATGCTTAAAGGTTTTGAATATCAACAATACCATAGTTGGGTGTGAGTTGTGACAGATCTGTCAGTTAAACTTCGAGCCAACATTCTTCGTATTGTTTCTTGTTTTTCAACCTACAAAATCTGATGTTATTGAGAATGAAAACGATGTTTAGTTTGAGAAATAACAAATATACCACAGTAATGGTAAAATCAAAACTTCTTCAATGACTATTTCGTTTACCTTGTTTATGAGGCGAGGAAAAAGGAGATAGAAAATAACCCCAGCTTCAGTTCTTCTGTTGAAAAAGAACTTGTCTGGTTGCTTAAGTTCAGAAGAAGATGAAGTTTTGTTTTTGGAAGCTGATCGGGCAGAATTTGGGAGGAAATCCATAGTATAGTATATGGGGATTTGGGGAAGTCATGTGCTTGGCACATGTTTTTCTTTCTGTTAGTTTTTAACAGTAGTTAACAGAAAGGATGCTTATGCAAGTTTTGGGATACTAGAAGGATGTTTTTTGGTCACAATTATGCTATGAGGATGTACTCTAAGTTTGGGTTATACTTGAGGGATGAATTTAGACAAAAAAACTCGGTAATAAACTAATAACAAATTAAATTAAACCAAATCACCACTACCTTCTTCATTTGGTCTTAACTGTGAAACACTTGCAGAGCACTTGTCTTTCTCGAGGCTCTTCACCATGTTCGATCACCTCCAACGTCTCCCAGTCCTCTTCTTCTTCCTCCTCCTTTCACTCTCATTCTCCGAATCCCTCCATGAAAACAAAGAATCAGACACACCCATTTCCCGTTTCCAACAATATCTCAGAATCAACACTGCCCATCCTAACCCAAACTACACTACCGCCATTAACTACCTCACTAACTTCGCCAACTCCATCCCAAATCTTCACTCCAAAGTAATTCACCTCACCCCTACTTCACCCCTCCTCCTATTAACCTGGCCAGGTTCAAATCCTTCACTTCCCTCCATTCTTTTCAACTCTCATCTTGATTCTGTCCCTGCTGAACCAGATAAATGGATCCACCCGCCGTTCTCCGCTCACAAGACTTCCGATGGAAGAATATTTGCACGGGGAGCCCAGGATGATAAGTGTATTGGTATGCAGTATTTGGAGGCAATCAAAGCGATTCAAACTAGCGATTCAAAATTTGTGCCACTGAGAAATGTTCATATTCTGTATGTTCCTGAAGAGGAGGTTGGTGGGTTTGATGGGATGGGGAAGTTTGTGCAGTTGAAAGAATTTGAAGAGTTGAATCTTGGGTTTATGATGGATGAGGGACAGGCTTCGCCTAATGATGAGTTTAGGGTTTTTTATGCTGATAGGACACCTTGGCATACGGTGATTAAGGCTGTTGGAACGCCTGGACATGGGTCTAAATTGTATGATAATACTGCTATGGAGAACTTGATGAAGAGTATGGAGGTTATTACTAAGTTTAGGGAGTCTATGTTTGATATGGTCAAGGCTGGACTGGCTGCTAATTCTGAGGTCATCTCAGTGAACCCGGTGTTTCTCAATGCTGGAACTCCTTCCCCAACTGTGAGTTTTCGATTGAGCTCACTCTTTTAAGTTCTAGTATATTCTTTTTTCCAGCAGTAGTTGATTGTATTAGGAATTTAAATTTAGTCATCCGGATTCTCTTTCTTATTCAACTTAATAAAATATGTGATGCCAATGATGCTTTCTTAACTGATTAGTCTTTCAAATTTTCTTTAGCTTGAAAGTTATTGTTGTTCTTAAAGTATATTGAAGTTTGATCAAAAGTAACTGTAAAGTATTTGTAAAAATGAAATGGAAATACTGTAGTCTGTAAAGAAGAAGGAATTGGACTCGAAATGGAACTCTTTATTGATTCAACTGAAAGGTTACAATTGAATTAACAAAAGAACTACTCCATAACCATGAGCTCCAGTGACCTGTAATGGTAGAATTAAGGTAAGAAGAAGAAGATAAGAAAGAAGTGAATAGACTAGGAAGAAGAAGAAGAAGAAGAGGTAGATTGAGAGAAAATAAGAATACTCAATTGATTCTTCAATCACTCCCTTCACATTTTCCTTCTGTTTATATTGATAAGAGAGTGATGACGCATCACCTCTGCTCATGTAGCTTTCAATCAATTTAGACGTCTCTTAATGAATTCAAATCATGACAGAAGCCTACCAATTGGGAATAACTTCTAAGGTTAGGTAACAAATTCTGAACCTGTTCCTGTTAACAACTTCTCTATGTATTAAGTAACATTAGCTTATGGTGTATTGAACGTGTTTCCTTGTAGTCTATGGTTGTGCTTATCATTGTTTCTTGCATAGGGGTTTATGATGAACATGCAACCCTCTGAGGCTGAGGCGGGATTTGATATTAGGATGCCGCCAACAGCTGACCCCGAACTTATGAGGAAGATAATCGAAGAGCAATGGGCACCAGCTTGGAGGAACATGACATATAAGGTGAATGTTGCTTTTCTCTATGCTTATTGATGTTATTTTGCAGATCTTAGCTTATCTTCCCACTATTGCTGTGATTTTTTTTGAAAATTCATATAGAAATATCTTGCTAACCGTTCTTGTAATGCATAGTTTGCATATCTGAGATTTGGAAGTTATATCAATTGTTTCCAGCCACAGTTCAAATGCCTTTAGATTAAATGATGGTGCACTTATTAGCTTTCGGAACTGTTCAGAGCATTTTGAGGTATATCATCGGTATACTGAAATATTTGCATCACTGATTCACTGTTTAAAGTAAGTTGGTGATATCAGCAAACAGGTTTCTCGTGTAGAATTCACTATCCTCTGACTTGTCGATTTAAAAAGAAAAGGTTACAGGTAAGCCAAAAATTACTTGTTCAAATCGTAAGCCTCTTAGGCCTTACCCATATTGACTTGCTTATACTGAAGGTTATTGTGGCATTGAGTTATCATCTCTATATGAAAAACATAGTCACTAGGAGCTGGCCATTCTAAATGTGCCATCTATGCCACAAGATCTGATGGAATCTGCCACTCTCCCCTCTATTGAAGTTTTGTGTGCTGTAAGGAGAGCTCATGCTGAACTGTGGGCTTGGTAGGCCTTGGACAGGCTGGTAACTGAAGTTAACCGAAGAGTATTTTTCTGGTTGTCTAGTCGGCTTGAGCTCCTGCTTCTGAGCAAAATGGACTCGCTTTGCACCATGGATTTCTACTTTACCAATATGTTGGGGAAGTGGTGCATTATTTCATTAATATCCATATCGATTTATTCCTGTATGTATGGCGTGGTTATTATTGTAGGAGGTGTAATAAAAAAGTCATGCATCAAGAAGCCAAGATGTGTTGATTCAACTAAAGGAACTATCAGCCAGTTTTATCTGTCTGAGTTGGGAGAACCATGAGTTACAGTCTTTTCCCTAGGATCTTGCCCAACTTCAAGTTCTTGAACCGAGTGAAATTGGGTCCTAAAGAATCAAAGCTTCAAGGACTATTGGCAGGGGCGGACCTACGTGGAGCTTAGGGGGTTCACCCAAACCCCCTCGTCGAAAAATTACACTGTATATATAAGGTAGACTTCTGATTTTAAGCGTATAGATAGTAAAATGAACCCCTTCAATAACCAGAAGAGGAGCGTGACTCACTGGTAAGGGGGTTCATTGCTAAATTGCACGTTCCGAGTTCGATTCTCGGTGAGTGCAACAAGTTTCAACCTTTTTTTTTGCTTCGAAAAGGCTGAGATGGGCTCAGTTTTGGGCACAGAATACCCAATTAAAGGCCTCATTATTTTTGGATTCAATCTAAAATTATATTATTTTTGTTTTTTAAATTTTTTCTTTTTATGCTATATTTTTTTCTCAATTTATCTTTGTTTAAATTTATTAGCCACATTTTTTATATTTTTGTCTTTTATTCTTCTTATTTATATTGTTCATTTTGTTTCTACATAACTCTCTTCTCATGTACTAACTTAAAGAAACTCTTTGAGAAAATGGTGAATTGTTATTAAATTTAAAATTGAATTAGAAAACTATTATATAAAATAAAGTAAATTAAGATTAATCGAATGGAAAACTTTAAAAGCTGTGAATATTCTTTTAATAAAATCTATTTAATTGAATTTTTTCTTAATTTCATTGTATCTCTTTCTTACTATTTTCAAGTCAATTCTAAAGAGATTAAAACTAAACTAAACTTATTTGATTGATTCATAATTTGTTTTTTTTAACAAATGAGTAACCTAGTAAATTGAATTAAATGAACTAAAAAAATCGACGATATCATTTATTTATCTTCGGAATATGCACTATAATATTAGTAACTCGATCTTTACACCTTTCTAAAGAATCTTGATGGTTTTTAAAGTAACATATGATTAAATGTGCACTAATTCAAAATTTAGAAAAAAATCTAAAAAGTAGAATACTGCAAAATAAAAAGAAAGACACTAGAAATTTTAAAAGCTCGATAGACCAGGGTAAAAGTAGGAAGAACCTAAACACAACATGACAATATAAGTTAAATTTAGCGGATTAAAATTTAAAATTTTCCTCTTATGTCATTTTTCATCTTGTAACTTTTACGTGTTTACTTCTTTATACTTCGAACCCCCTCAACAAAAATTCTGGATCTGCCACTAACTATTGGATCCCACTATCTGTACAATACCATCTGTACCTGGGTGCGAGCTTGTGCTGGAAAATTACCTAGCAGAGTAGGAATGGGGAACTCATCCACCCTTTGCTGCAAAACCTTTTGTTGGTCCGAATTAACAATACTTTCGACCTCACTAGCCCGGCAAGCGAATTGATAACCAAGATCAATCCAACCTCTGGTGACCTATCTGAAGCCCTGCATCTGACCAGAAAAGCCATCAACTCCACAATTCTGCACCTTGAATGCACTGACTGAAATAATGAGGCAGTACTTTGGAATTAACTTGAAGTCAGTAGACAAGTCTGTACCTGTCCTGACTTGATCATCAGATGTGTCTCTTTCAATAGGTTTCTTTGTCCTTTTTTTTTTTTTGAGAAGATGACTAATCTTCCCTAGAGCGAATTAGCACGTTTACTACGAAATGCGGGGAGGACATTCATAAAGAATGACATAAGCTTCAGCTCTTCTTGTTGCCTATAAAAACTGTATTTGCCTAATACTTATCACTGTATGCCAATTCAGTTCAAAATGGGGCTGATATGGAGCGATGTTCCATGACCGATTTTATAGGCTACAACCAAAAGTTACATATTGCCAATCTCGTCAACTTGCAGACTGATGAATCAGTTGCGTGAAGAGATTTTAGAAGATGCGACTAGATGGAATGTTCAATTCAGAATCTCGATATGTCAGTATCTCTGTGGTCAACATGCATCCTGGGTTCAAAGAAATGCTCATAGAATAAGAGGAAAAGGTCTCAAAATCTCGTCTGTTTTCAGTGTTGATTACATGGACCAACGGAACCTAAACCTTCTTACTAGTAGCAGTCTCTGTAGGTTCATGCAATCGAAATCATCCGGGAAAAAAAATATTCTTGTCCGCTCTCAAGTTGTCAAAAGCTAAGGAGTTGGTGAAGACTGAGGAAAGAAAAGAATGCTACCGCTTTGATAATTCTAATTGATACTTGACCAGTTCCTTAGAGATAAATAGATCAAACTTCTGGAAACATACAAAACTTCCATCAGCCAAGAGTTGAAGAACAAGCAGTACTGCAAGTGACAGCTCTTATAATCATACTAACATCAACTGTGTCATCTTTCATAATGTTATCTAGACTGCAATCACCAATGACATTACCATCTCATCGAAAAGATTAAACTGTTAGGAAAACATACTTACATTTCCTTAATTATATCTTCAATACGCCCTCTCTCATGCATACCTATTTCTATTATATCGAGGCAAGCATGTGGAAATTCTTTTTGATAATAGGTGGCAGTGAGATTTGATCCAATGACCTTTTCCTGCTCTTTTACCATGTTGAAGTATGTGACCATCTGTTCTAAAAGTGTAAGTTGTTAGAGAGAATACACATTTATTTATCTAGTTAAATCCTCATCCAATCACGTGCTGACCTGATTCTTTTTCATAGAGTAAGCACGTCAAACATTTTTTGATAGGTGGCAATGAGACTTGAACCTAGTATCTCTGCTTGCTCTACTACAATGGAAAAGTGTGTGACCATCTCATCTAAAAGCTCAAGTTATTAAAAAGAAAATCATTTGGCTTAAGTCATATGCGCCCCTTAAAGTTGTCCACATATTTCACTTAGATACTTCAATCTATCCCTGTACCTATTGAACACCTTATTTATTCAAAGCTCATTCCTATTAGACACAAAATGATGACATGTCGAAAAACGCGTGTTTCACCCTCTTTAAGCACGTAAACAATTGAAAAAATTGTTTCTTCTTTTTTTTTCTCGAACTTATACACCTAAATTAATAAAAAAAATAAAAATTGATCACCCAAAAAAAAAAAAAAACTAAGACAGTCTTCTTCCCCACCCAGTGTTCCCCTCCCTGCAGCTATTCCCATCCACCATTTCCATCATCTCTTTAGCATACACACCCCACTTCCTCCGCCTCTCTCTTTCTCTCACCCTCTCCAATTCTTCTTCTTCTTTCTTTCTTTAAGTTTCAAATATTCCGGCGAAGCTCCATTCTTTCCGATAAAAAAAATATGAACTCATTTTTTTCCGGTAAAAAATTGTTATTATTTCTTGTAATTGTGATAATGATTACTAGTGGGAAGAAGATGAAGGCAATAGGTAGGAAGTTTTGATGCTATTAGAATGAAAGGGGGATGAGTATTTAGTTTGGGTAGACAGCATGGTGTACTGCCAACGCTGGTGAAAGGGGTAAAGATTAGATGGAGAAGAAGACAAGGGGGGGCGATGGATAACAGATGTTCAGCCAGTGTCTCAGTACATATATAGAGCATACTCTCCAGTGAGGTATGACTTGGAAGAGTTAGAAAAAGATGTATGTCCAGTGAAACAGATTGGGCTGTGTTGATACAATAATGAGATGGAGTGATTGATCAGTTACTAAGTGTGGTAAGAGGTGGTTGGATAGCACTAATCAAGTGAAGCTTGACGTCACTCACCTGTTTTCAGTCCGAATTGAGCAGAAGCGGTAAGCTTTTGTCTCATAGATGTTCCTATTTGATTGTACCTGTTGTTCTAACTCCGTTTTATTGGAGCCTTCTGCCACCAGTTCACCAAATTGTGCACCACTTGCACTTCGCTAGAAGGTACTTTCTTGATTTTAGAGACTACTTCATCACTTGTACAAAGGGGGTTCTATATGCTGAAGTTTTCACTTACCTGTGACCTACCATCTCCTAAGTGTGGCTATCTCTGCATAATTCTGGAGCAATAAGAGGGAGAAAAAGAAAGAGGTGATATGATACCTAAATATTAATCTGAATTGACATGAATCTTACGATGAACTAGATTTTGAAGGGAGAATAGGGAAGCTTACAGTTGGAGAAGAAATTCCTTCGCCTTGAATTTCGTCAATTTGTTTGCAATGTCCTGCCACCAGAGTTTGATTATGATCAATCTTGTCCTACTCCCTTCTACTACAGTGTTTCTATTGAATTCTCAAAATCTGTTTTAGTCTGGGATGATGTAATATTCATATATTTGTTCCATTTCCGACGTAGATCTCCCCGGTTCTTCGGATGTCTTCATCAATACTTTGCAGATCCAAAAAATCTGTTGCTTTTGATGAAGATTTCCTTCTTTCGATCCATTCAAAGCACGCGGATGGTTCTCCCTTTTTCTCAATGATCTCATATGACTTTCCCCCAGCTAAGAAGGCCTTCCTTTCCATCTTAAATGGATTTTACACCAGTTTTCAACTGATGACATTCCAAAGTCATAGTAATTGCTATTATATGATCAATTTGAAACTTGGGTTCTACCAATATGGACCTAAAGATGATGGTAAAGTGTGGCTGCTGTGGAGAGACAATGTTAAGAAGAGAGAGTTTTGAGAAGAGGAAGGATTGGAGAAGTCGATAAGAATGTTGGCTTGGAATAATTCACAAATTAGGATTAATTTGGCTGGAAATCTAGAAAGAAATAAGGGCTTAAGAGTACACATTTTGATCCAATGGTCATTTTCTTGTATTTCTGAAGCTGTTCGATGATTGAAAATTCTCTCCTTAAAGTGGGTTCCATAGTTTTCTACTCAGGAAGTTGTCACAATATTGGGACAACTCTGTTTATCTATCTGTCAATCAATCAGCTATGTCCCAATATAACGAATCTTATGTAATCATTCTGTTCATCAGTCTGTCAATCAATCAGCTATGCCTCAATATGAAACCTCTGTAATCATTCTGCTGGTGAATTCTGTTTATTCAAAACAAACTTTATTTAGGGTGACAACTCTAAATAGAGCATATATTAGTTAATTTGGAGTAGAGACGTCATTTCTAATGTAAGTAATGGTTGGCTTCATTTTTAGGTAGATGCTTTTCCCCATTCCCACTCGTATGTTTAAAATCACCAGATTTAAAGTAGTTTACATTTGGGTTCAATATGTTATTTGTTTTACTAAACACAAAAAAGGGACAATGTGTACTTTTGGTCTTCTGATTCTCAGGCTTTTTGTAATGTGGCAGATAACCAAGAAAGGATTCCTAAGGGACATCATAGGACGTCCTCTCATGACACTTGCTTCCGATTCCAACCCTTGGTGGTCTGTGTTCAATGAAGCTGTTACTAGAGCTGGTGGAAAACTCTCCAAGCCTGAAATATTAGCTTCGACTACTGATGCTCGATTCATGAGACGGCTGGGAATTCCTACCTTTGGTTTCTCCCCAATGAAGAATACCCCCATCTTACTTCATGACCACAATGAGGTTTGTCTCTGCTTCTATCTATGACAAATCAGTAATCACTTGTTTCTCTGATGCCAATCGTTTGTTCTCCTGGCAGAACCTCAAGGATACTGTTTATTTGGAGGGGATTAAGGTGTATGAATGCATTATAAAGTCATTAAGTTCCTTTGAGGGATCTTATGAACACTGATGCAATGGGTTTCTCAACAATGAAGCATCTGAAAACTTGGTATGATATTCATCTCTTTTGAGTTTTCCTTAATTTCAGGGTATGCAAGTTTTAAATCTGCACATGCTATAAACATTAGTCCAGGTCCTTTAGGCACAAATCTAAATTTGTTAAATTCTACTGTTACCTTTGTAAAACAAAATAAAAATTGTTAACTTCTCATTGAGTATCTTTTTAATTGTCTAAGTGGAATTTAATGTTTGTCTCTTTACAAAACCTGTGGCATCATTAAAAAAAGTACTGGAGGATTTCTCCCTCTATCAGCTGGCTGGTGTTCTCCTTTCATGCTAAGATTACTTGGGTTAACTTGCAGTTTCATGCATCGCTTGGTTGATTGATTGTGTCTCATGACTAGAATCTCAGCTGCCCTGCCCAACACGAAAACAGAAACAAATTGTTTATCAGATGACCTTTCCTGCCAATACCAGTTGATTGAGTCCGAAAAAGAATATTCAAATTAGTGTAAGCATCATGTAATGCAAACAGATGATGTTACAAATGGAGTGAACTATTTTTGTTTCCTTCGATCTATTGTAATTTAGCTGATTCAAAAAGTTTGTCTGCTTCGATGTCTGGATGTGTTCTCGATCAGTAGTTTCTTAGACGTTCGAGCATTTGCTTGTAGATTTAGCATCACTTAAAAATCTACTCCTTGAAAGTCAATTGCAAGTGACATGAATGCAACCCCTGGAAAAAAAGAAGGAAGAAGTGCCTGACTGCTGATAATTTGGACTACTCCAGATAAAAAATTACTGCAAAGCATAACTATAGCATAGGTGCAAAGGGGAGATTATCACGTTTCTCTGCATAGGAAGTTTGGGAATTTCAGGTTTTATGAGAATTTTTTCCAGCACAGGAACATTAACCAACAGTTGATAATAACAAGTTTCTTTCCGTTTGATATAGATCCTTTAGGCACATGAGTGTTAACTAACAGTTATACTGTCAAACTTTCACGATCTGAATGTGGAAGCAGAGAAGATTCGTCAAATAGCCCCTACAATATTTGTGATAATCCTTATCGACGACTACCTTCTTGCAAATGTATAATGTAAAACAGAAAGTGTGTCCTTGATTTTTTCACACATAATGTACCAAATTTGACTAGCACCCAAGGGTGTGGCCAGTGGTCAATGAAGTGGTTGTGAATACTGAGGTCTCAGGTTCAAAACTCAGTGGAGACAAAAAACACTAGGTGGTTTTTCCCATCTGCCCTAGCCTTGGTGGACATAGTTATCTAGTGCTTGTTGCTGGTGGGAAGTGGCAGGTATCCCATAGAATTAATTGAAGTGCATGAAAGCTGACCCGGACACCACGGTCGTCAACAAATAATTAAAATTTAACTACAATAGATTTGATTGCCTTTCGACAGTAACAGGTCATTGGTCTTAAGATTTTGATGAAGCGAAGACCACACAAGTGCTTATTTTTACTGGAAGCTGAGCTTTTCAAATAAGATGGCCCAAAGCAGAATTCCTTAAGGGTTGTAGAAAGAAACAGATATGAGAAACTGGATTTGAATGTTAAAATCTTAGACAAGCCCAGATTCTTTTACTCTCCTTTTGTGTTTTTAAGGAATCCCCGAAAACTAATATCTTTTCTAATTTCTAAATGAAACAAAATGATATACATTCTTATTTTCTGGTAACCAATTCATATGATGGTTTGGTTGCTGTATCTGAGATGTTAAGCAGTAGGATTAACTTCTTTTTCTTCAGTGCAACTCCTGCCCCTCAGGCTATGAGAAAGAAACTACACCAACATACCTAATGCAAAGATATCACATGGATGATTCAAGCACAGCACAATTTTGTTTGGGTCTGAACAGTTAGCAACATGGCTTACTTGATCGATTTGGGATTTACCAAATTAACTTTGTGGATTTAAACACTCATAAGATACTCTTCATGTCATTTTTGTCAAAAGAGACATACGAATCTTTGTTTCTTTTATATTCTATTAAGATACTGCAAATTCCACAGGACATCTCTAAAATTAACTTCTACTCACTATGTGCTTTCTGTTTTTGGAAGGGATTCCCATTATTTTCTATCTTTTGCTAACAAGTTACCAGTGAGTTGCCTGTTACTCTCTCTTAAGTTACCTGTCAAATATTATCCTGAAATAGTGATTTCCATATCAGTTGAACCAGCAGCTTGTTTTGTCTGACCCTCCACCCCTTTGTTTCCTTTGAATGTGCTGGAGTTTATACCTGTTCAAACTTTGGACTTGAATGAACATGTCAATGCTAGTTGTCTGATGTATGAACATCTCATAACTGCTGATTTGATAATTGATTTTCATAGTCATGTTTCCAAGAAACTCTAGGTGTTGGCATAGAATTAATCCAAGCTCTGAAATCATGTTTTTTTTAAAGTTTTGCAGGGCATCTCTCTTTTGGAATAGATGATTTGTGCACACAATATGGTTTTATAACATCATTTACAAAAATAACAAGATCATCTACAGGGGAAAAGTGTTTCATCCTTTAGACTCATGTAAATGTAAGTGTACGACTTTCAATAAATTATGTTGACAAAGCATGCAAGACTATGCTTCTTTGGAGCTTCTATCAATTATCCTCTGATGTAAATACCCATCTGGAGTTTAGTCAGTCAATGTTTCTATCTATGTCAAACAATAAAATAAAAAGGGCAGCTCGGTGCACTAAACTCCCACTATGCACGGCCCATGAGGTTCAAGTAAAGGCCGGATCACAAGGTTCTATTGTACACAACCTTACCCTGCATTGTTTCTGTAGCTTGAACCAATTACCTCTTGAGTATACATGTGATATTGTTATCCTTCTAGTGTTATTGATATCCTATTTTACTTTGCAAGTCTATCTGTCTAGATGTACATGTTTGTATATTATTTAGTGGATAATAAATGTAATGTCCAATTTGTGATTGGAATTTGGATGCTTCCAGGATGCTGCTACCTTGATGGTTGTTGCCTCATTTTCATACTACACACATCAAGATTCAGAGCCTCTATATGATTTTTTTGCCCATAACCTAATCTCCAAATCTCATCAGCAAATATTTCAAAATTGGGTTATTTGACTTGAGTTGATTTGTCTCATCTTATTAGCTGGCAAACCTCTGCATCTATTGATTTAATAAGTTGGGTCACATTATTGCATTTTGTCTTTTTTCCAATTTAATATGCCATTGGTACGGAATGTCCTTTAGCCATGGTACTAGTACATATTATTTCAAAGTACCCCCCCCCCCCCCCCACATGATCATTTCAAGAAGATTGAACTAGTTTTGAAGATTGGATAGGAATCTTTCCTGCTCATTAATGTTAAATGTCCTTTGGTGTCTAAGAAGTGACTCATTAAATGGTGTCCGTCCATGTAGTGGCGTAGTTGGGATCCCTTTGATCTTAAATAAGTTTGACTCTTTGGAAATGAAAACTTTTTGGAAGAGCATTTTACTCCTTTAGTAGACCTACCCTAGTATAGATTTGAATTAATGGGGTTGAAATTTCGAATATCAAATGATTAAACTAAAAAAAATGTACCATTGAAGATGTAGTGAAAATTGTTGAGATTTCTCCATGTTTAATTAAGTTTGATCTTTGGAAATGGATTTTTTTTTTTTGTAGAAAGTGTTTTACCCCCTTGGTGGACTTACCACACTGCAAATTTGATTAATTGGACCAACAAACTTCGGATATCAGATGATTAAACTTAAAAAAAATGTCCTGGTGTGATGGGATAATTGGGAGTTCTCCACTCTTAATCAGGTTCGAGTTTTTAAAAATAGAGAACTTCTTGGTAGGAGGCTTTACTCCTTAGTAGAACTACTCACGTGTAAATTTGAATTAAATAAGCCAAAGACTTCAAATACCAGATGGTTAAACTAAAAGAAAATGTTCTTGATTTCTCCCTTTGGGTTATGGTCTCATGGATCAAATTGTTAAATTAGAACTTCTTATTATACCAACTACCAAGCAAGAGTAGCTCTTAGAACTAATGGTTTCTTTTGTTTTTTCCCCTTTTTTTTGGTTACCTACCAGTGTCTGGAGTCAGATACGCGTCGGAAAGTCCCATTGGAGGGTAAAGCGCTCCCTAACAAAGGTGACTCTGTACCCAAAGAGACTCAAACCCCATACCTCTAGTTAAAGATGAAGTAGTGCTCATCACTCTACCACAATCTTTGTCGATGAGCTAATGGTGTCAATTGTAAACATTCTAACGGTGAATGTTATCTGCATCCCTACATATAACTAAACATGTCCCATCCTTCCATATGAGTACTAAACAATCCCATGGGACCAAACATACATGCAATTGAACACAACTCATTTTGAAATAGAAGATTAATTACCTGTTATCAAGTATATATATTGTAACTTCTAGGAAATAGAGAACAATATTTGTGAATAGATGAAAGTAGATGCACCGTACAAGGAACAATATTCTTGCTTTGGTTGGTGTAACAATATCTTTAAATGCTAGACAAGTAGGGTGAACAATCAAACATCAAAGTAATAATTCAAAGTATGGTACCTCTAAATTATTATACCTCTCACTATGAGGTCACTACTTAATTTTAAATAATTTAATTCCCTTTCATACATTACTTTTCCTCTTAATATAATGATCAAGGAGGAATTAAAGTTACTATAATATTAAAGCAAACTATACATTTTAACACTTGATACTAAACTGATTCGATCAATTACAAGATTTTTTTTGTCCGTTTGTTGATTGTGTTATGTTTTTCATGTTATCTTGAACTTCCCTAGTCTTATCTATGCACCACATTTGATTGCCACGCTCCTAATAACAAATGGTGGGTTGATGAGGCTGGGTCAAGGTCGAGGACTAACAAACTTCTAAGGTGGAAAGCTCTGCAAGAAAGGGTACATATTATTTAAGTAAATCTCATATCGAAAAGGAAGGAAAGAGTGAAGTGTTATATAAGACAAAGTACAACTTCATATGGTACGTACATGACTTTTGGGCTCGATGATGACAAAGTCCAAATTACAAATTTGTTATTTTTGTTGGTAACTGAACTTGAATCTCGCATAACAATGGTGGCCAACCTTAACGAGGACATTGAGTCTCAAGGAGGGGGGGAGGTTGTATGTGATGCCACTCGCGGAGGGTGGGTCGATGGCCGGATTAACAATCTTTATGCTGATAAGCTTTCGAAAGAGGAGTTCATATGACACATTAGACAAATTTCATACCAGAAAAAAGGAGGGAAAAAATCCACATAGTACGCAAAAAGCGTATCTATTATTTTGACTGGTAATTAGAGTGTCCCACTGGAGACTAAAGGAGGGCAATTGAGCTGGAAAAAAATGTTTGTGTGGGAATTAATCATAAATGAACTGTTATGAAATGACTAATAGTGAAAAGATTGTTATACATGGTTACTTAATTTGTGTATTTTTATCTTTGCATAATTTAATCGCTACGTAGGTTGATACTTGATACACATTTTTATTTCATATTTTATAATTCATAACATAATACATCAAAATCATATCGATTTTAAGCAAATCTTAATGCACATATTAACTTAGACTTATGATGAGATT